ATTGATTGATTGATTGGTCCACCTAGAGCCTTATCCATTGTCCCAAGAACCGTCCCAACTTCCTAGGCCACCTATTCAATGCAATTTGATTGACTGATTGATTGATCAATTTATTAGTCTATTGTCTCCAAAACCTTCCCATCTTCCTGGGCCACCTATTCAATGTTATTGAATTGAGTGATTGATTGATTAGTTAATTTTTCCAAAAACCATCCCAACCTCCTGCAATTTAATTGACTGACTGATCGATTGATTAGTCCACTCAGAGGCTCATCCATTGTCCTGAGAACCTTTCCATCCTCCTAGGCCAACTATTCAATGCAATTTGATTGATAAATTGATCAACTGTTGAGTCCAAGACTGACTAACTGACTGATCAACTGATTAGCCAACCTAGAACCTCATCCAGTGTCCCAAAACTGTTCCCAACATCCTGGGCCACCTATTCAATGCAATTTGATTGACTGATCGATTCATCAATTGAGGAATTGATTGGTCCACCCAGAGCCTCATCCATTGTGCTATGAACCTTTCCATTCTTTTGGGCCACCAATTCAATGCAATTTGACTGACCAATTGATAGATTAGTCCATGATTGATAGATTAGTCCCTGATTGATTGATCGATCAATTGATTAGTCCACCCAGATCCTCATCTATTGTCCCGAAAACCTTTCCATCCTCATGGACCACCTATTCAAAAGCAATTTGATTAACTGATCAATAGATTAGTCCATGATTGGGTGACTGATTAGTCCCTGATTGATTGATTGATCAATTGATTAGTCCACCCAGAGCCTCATCCAGTGTACTACAAACCTTTCCATCCTCATGGGCCACCTATTCAAAAGCAATTTGATTAACTGATCAATAGATTAGTCCATGATTGAGTGATTGATTAGTCCATGACTGATTGATCACTTGATTATTCCACCCAGATCCTCATCCATTATCCCGAAAACCTTTCCATCCTGGTGGGACACCGATTCAATGCAATGTAATTGACTGATTGATCAATTGATGAGTCCACCCAGAGCCTCATCCATTGTCCTGAGAACCTCCCCATTGCATCAGCTTCCCTGGCTTCTGAATCTCTGCCGCGCATGCTCACCGGTGCGCTTGAACTGTCGCGTCCACATGCACTTCCCGGAGGCGGTGCACTTGGCGCAGTCGGAGGCCTCGCAGGAGATCTCGGAGCAGTTGCTGGCCACGAAGATCTCCCGCTGGTTGATGCGGCAGTCGTTCTCGGAGGTGCAGCTGCCCGCGCTGCCGATGCAGGCGCCCTCGGGGCAGTTGGTGCACCACTTGCACTGCGGCACCGCCTGCAAAGCGGCCACACTCAGGTTGC